CCGGGGGTCCCTTCCCTCGGCCCGGGCTCCCACACGGCCGGGGGGCCCCTTCCCTCGGCCTGGGCTCCGTCACGCCCGGGGGATCCCGTCCTTCAGCCCGCCCTTACCCCGTCCCTGGACGGGGGAGCCCCCCACGCCCGGCGTGAGCGAAGGCGAGGGCGGTGGCCAGGCCGCAGCGGTGCCCCGCGGCCCTGAGGCAAACCCGGGCTCTCCGCAGGCCGCGCTCGGAGGGGAGCGGTGCCGAGCCGGGCCGCCCCGGCGTGAGGCTGCCATGGGGGCATGGCGTGGAGGGGCCGTGGTTTTTTTTTCCTCAGGGCGCGGGTTTCTCTCGGGGACACCGCCGCCCTCTGCCACAGCAGAGCCCCCCTGAGCTCGGTGCTTCCTTCGTGCCTGGGAGGGAAGGGGTGCTGTTTGTGTTGGCCTTTGCTGCTCTGTCCGGGGAGATGATGTTAACAAAAAGCCCCACACAAGCAGGAAAGCCCTTCCCAGACTGCGGAGTGGCCTCCGCGGTGTTTTCACAGGAGACTCGTGTAGCTTCTGGGAGAGAAGGGAGAAGCACACTGTGTTTCTGCTAACCATAAGCCTTGCAAAATGATCTGGAGCCTTGTCTGATCCCAGACCTACAATAATAAAGTTTCTGTGTGTCAAAGGATGCTTTGGGTCAGGTCAGCCAGGAGACAGCTCGCACCGACACAGGACAGTGTGAAAATTACGATGTGTGGGTCTGGTGTGCCAGGAAGATATTTGCAGGGAGAGATGAGGGATGTGTGGGACTGGTTAATGGGAGGGAAAAATAATTAACTGGAGGGAAAAAAATTTCCTTGCAAACCAAAAAAAAAAGTTGAGATCGGTCAGTGAGAAGTATGAAGATCCTAGTGCTGTTTTGGTAACTTGTTCGTTGTAGACTCCTTGTATTCTTCACAATCACAGAAGCTCAGAGGGAAGCCAGCTGTCATCAGAAGGGGAAGTTCATTGCCAAAGGATTTCCAAAGCCTGAGACTCTGCTGCAGTCCTGTGTTGTATAATATATTTTACTGGGTTAGTGATGAAGAAATAACAAACCTAATTTCCTGTTACTCACGGAGATAAGTGAAGATGTAGAAATTCATCGATGTTGAGAGCCTGACCAAAAAGCGATGGAAGACTTTCCCATACTCCTGCAGTTCTTCCTACTCAAGAACGCACTCTGAAGACTCGGTTTTGGGAAAGACAAAAAAATTGGTGTGCTTCGTGATCTGCCGATCTGAGGTTCATAACAAATAGCAGTAGCTTCCAGCTGTGGGAGAGAGCTGGGGCTTCATGCAAACGTTGGGCATCAGCTGGGCTGCTTCTGGCCCTGAATTCACAAGTTTCCCCACTGGGGGAATGTGGTGGACGGTCCATGTCAGCCTGAGTAGACAGCAGAATGAGTGGGAGGAACCTGGCCTTCAGGAAAGTCACAAGTTTAGCTCGGTGGTGGGTCACGCTGATAAGAGGAGATGGATAAATTTGTGGAAGAAAGACCCACTGAGGGCTATTCAACACAAAAATCTTGCATCTGGCTCAGGAAATTCCTTAACTGCAAGTTGTCCACAAGATAGACTATAAAAATAGATTGTAGATTATACCTAAAAGATAGATTATTTCGGGAAAATAGCACTGTACACTTACTTTATGTTATCCCCTAGGCGTCTGGTTTTGACCACTGCTGGAGACAGGATGCTGATGGACCCTTAGCCTGACCCAGCATGGCCATTCCTGTCTTTTATTATTTTTGGCCAAGGATTGCAGCTAGGGCCTGTGACTTGTTGTTAGTTCTCTGAGCTCTTGCAGAAGTCTGAGATATTTACACTCGTAAGAGGAAAGGAAATGGATGGTTGCGTGCACTCTTAAGCATGGGGTTTCCTGATGCCAAGGGCATCTTTGTGTATGCCGTTAGGAGTCCTGCGGTGGGATTCAGCTCAGAATCGGAAAATATCGGTATTGAGGTTTCTGCGGTCTGTGCTTTCATCATAGGAGGTGCAGATCCAGGGCGCAATTTGGCTGCCCATGAAGACATCTCAGGTCATTTGAGAGGCGTCAGGATATCCCATACGGCCTCTACCTCCTGGTGGACACGGGTCATTCATAGGTCCAGTGTCATACCTGCAAGCGCCTAACAGATGTCTCGGACGTTCTGGGATCTCCTGTGATAGCTGATGCGTTTGTGTGGGCAAATGAGCCAAGCTCCTTCAGGACACAGCATCCCCATTAAACAAAACTCAGTGCTGTGCGACTCCAGAGGACATGTTTGGTTTGTGGTTTCTACAGCAGAACCGGTTCCCCGTCTTCCCATCGTGCG